TTGTTTTTATTAAACGTCATTTTAATTTGAAAGATAATCTAGATTAGACTTGGATGATTGAATTTTTCAAATTTGGTTCGTGAAATCATTGACAGTCTGAGGAATCAAATGACATCTGAGCAATCTGCAATTTACTTTTTTGCTTTAATGAATTATTTAACTTTCAAGTTTTCTAAGGAATTACATAGATTATGCGTAGCTTTCTGAGATTTTAAGGTTTATTTGGATATCATATAAAAGTAATTTTATTAAATACGTGCGCAGTCCTTTTGTACAGTACGTTCGCTTTGTTTTACAAAACAAATGTTACATCTAAGAAAAATGTTAATTTTAGATGCGATTATTTAAGGTAATTAGTTTGTACATCAAATTTATAAAGTTGTAGGGGCAGAACACTTTAAGTAGTTAAAAAACATATTTTTCTCCCTTGATTTGAATTTAAAATTAAAATGAAGTTAAAATAATTTATAATTCCTCAATCTAATATTAATTCTCTTACGTGGCTCCCAAATTTTGACTGTATTTCCTTTCCGCCGGTGGCAACGTTTGCTTTGTTTTGTTTACGCTACTATTTCTCTTACATGGCGAATCGACCAATGATTGCCGCTAACAATGTCACATGCCAAATCTAGCTGAGGTGACTCAACATATAGCGCTTTTTAAAACGGAAACTGAAATAACCAGAGAGCATTAGATGCGGCAATCTCATACTATTAAGCTGGGCAGAAGTGAGTAGTCTTTGTCGATAGATCTCTATTTTAGTATTTTGTCGAAAGCACTTTTTCAAGAATTTATATATTACGAATTTATTTGACGATTTTTGATTTATATCACGAATTATACTATAGTACGTTTCTAATAGGTTTAACGAATTACATGTCATTTATTTGAATTAAAATTTATTTTAATGACTTAGTATTTACTAAAGAGATGTAATTTTTTTTAAAAAAGTTTTTATATGGATTTGAATGATTGTTTTGAATTCTTAGAATCTTGTGTATTTGCAATGTATCAAAGTTAGTAGCGAGCGAAGCGAGCTTGGTTTGCGAAGAAAACCATATACGATTGCGTAGCAATTTTCGGGGGTTGCCGAGCTTTAGCAATCAGGGGGAGCAGCCCACTAGTTTAAGTATTTCTGTATTTACTGAATTTAATAACAAAAACAATGCGTTAGATCAGTTCAATATTTTATAAAAATTCTGAAATATTCATTTTGAGCTCTTAAGTGAAATACTGATTTTAAAATTAAATGTTTCAATTTTGTTATTTAGGTGATCTGAAATCTAAATTTATGAAATATTTAATACCCCATTTTCATAAATTGTATCTATTTATAAATATACGTGCCTCAGTATCTTTTATCTCAACGTTAAAACTAAAATTTGAATTTATTAGTATAGAAATTGCGACGAACATTTTAAATTTTATAAATTTGAGTTTTGTGGAAGAAGCGTTGCCAAGATTTGACTGCGTAATATTAAATTGCTGTACTTGAGTTTCATAGATCACGCACGAATTACATGAAGCACACAATTTTTTTTTCATTGTAGTTATAATTTCTTATCCACGTTTTCCAAATCGGATGCATTTGAACACTTAATTCTTACCTCAACACAATTCATTTTATTAAATATTAGTTCAAATGTTAATAAGCTGTTTAATAAGGTAAACGTAAAATTTTCTGAAGGATATGAGACAATTCGTCTTATTTATTTAAATTATTTTTATTCGTAATATGAAATTTTGCGCATTTTAAATGAGTTCAGAATACAAATAGTAAAAATTTTTGTAATTACAAAAATGTATGGTTAATGCCCGAATGACGATTGCCTTAAAAATTCCATTATTTGAAAGCATTACTTAAATGGCTGTCCGACGACAGCTCAATTATGAAAAACTTTTTAAACAATGCCATTAAAATTCTTAACTTGTAACAGTTTTTCAAGACTTAGTTTTTTCTTTTAGTTAAGTTTATTTTTTTCACCTTCTCCATCAATCATTAAAATTTTCCAAAACATCTCCATATGCAGAAAAATCAGTTTTTGAAAATGTGAAGTGTTTAATAATTTTTATAATATTTCACTTTAACACCGCATTGTTTAGTTTCTTAGAATAATATACAAAAATTTAGAATTATTCATTAACACGTTCACGCCGGGGTGACCCACCGGTGGGTCACGCTAGATTTTCTCATCTTGGCGGTGCACTGGAGTAAAAACTGGTAACAAATAAATTTCATTTTTTAGTTTTTTTTCCGGGAATAATAAAAATCCATAACTACTAGCATCACTGGCTGCGGTCAGTGTGCGGGTGTCTGACCACTTGGATCAATCTGCGTAGGGACCGAATGTGTGCGGTATTGGTCCTCGTTAAACTGTTCTACCGTAAAGTGCTCGACTTCGCGTGAAGGTCTTCGGGTTACCGAAGCGGGGGAGGCATCCCCTCTGCGGAGGTTTAAAATTGTGATGGCATGTCTTCGGAACATCCTCAGGGATGTTTCCCAGACCGTCGCCAATAGTCCATTGTGCAGCTCTAGTGCGACGTAAATGAACAAATCAAATCAACCATAACTACTAATTGTTTTTAACGGATGCAATTTTTATATTGAATTGCTTCTTCGCCGTGATATATTTCCTCACAGTGAATTGTTATTGTTGAGAATAGATTAACTCCTCCCGAATATTATATAATATTGAAATAGTTCTACTACCAGTATTTCCTCTTTTCCCGTACCAGTACTTTCACTTTTCCCTGCGTGAACGTGTTAAGTCATGGTGTTTCAGACTCAATTTTTTATTAGGGACAAACCTGAAACAGTTACAATAGTTAAAAATTTTAGTCTAAAAATAGAGCCAAATTTTTATTTTGCTAAATATTCGCGAAGTTTGTTTCAATTTCTTTGTTTTCAATTAAATATAAATCTCTTTTTTCTTGAAATATTTAGAGTTCTTTGATTCCGAATTGATCGACATACCCACAATCCCTCCGCTGCTGTGACTGTTTATGTTCCAGATTTGAATGCGTGAAAAGTTTCGTCAAATAGACCTTCTTGATTTTTAGTTTTCAATTAAGGTATCCGACTACCTTAAAAAAGAGGATTTTCACAAAAAATCACTTTTTTATTTTATTGCTTTATAATAATGCCCAATTTTTCTAGTTTTAAAAACTAGAAAAA